TGCGCGCGAGCCCACCCGTAATGGCGTCAAAACTACAATTTATATGCATTTTCATTAGCTAACCACAACATAACAGACAACAACAAAAATGGCGTCAAAAATGAAATTTATATACATTTGCCAAATATTACCTTACCACAAGATATCAAATTACCGACTCAAAAAGATATCGAATTACCGGGCCACCAACCTATTAGTTCAAAATTTTGCCGCCACATTTTTTCCAGAGGGCGCTCATACCACAAGATATCAAATTACCGACTCAAAAAGATATCGAATTACCGGGCCACCAACCTATTAGTTCACAATTCTGCCGCCACATTTTTTCCAGAGGGCGCTCATGCGCAATACACTGCCACCAACTGAAAATGACCGGCAAGTGGCGCCTCCTGGCGGTTGAATTTGACATGGTGGCGAAGGAACCCCTTTGCTACTCTACTTATATAAATTTAATTTTTCAATGAATTTTTTTCTGTGAGTTTGTTACTGCTATTTTGTAAATAATATACCATACATTGTTTATTTCCTGTGTCATCATATTTACATTAGAAATGATTTTCATGCTAAAAGGGTTTTGGAGGATTTTATACTCAGTAGGACATTGAACATATTTTCTTAGAAGTTAAAATAAGAAACATTACTTTGTTAATATGTGTTATTTATCGAGTTTCCTCAAATAATAGGAATGTTTTTATAAATAATATGGATACCTTTATGTCGTTTATCTCTTCTCAATACGATAATGTTGTGGTGCTAGGTGATGTATATATTGACCATAGTTTTGAGAGTTTACTGGTTGATTGTCTAAGTTCCTACGATTTTACACAATTAATTAAAGATGGAACTCGTATAACTTTAACTTCAGAAACAATTATTGGTGTAATTTATGTTAATAAACCTAATTTTATTTAATATTCAGGTACTTTAACTGCAGATCTTATATCTGACATTATTCTGTAAATATAATTTCAATGTGCCGCGTTTGGCACCAAAACTTATTACATTTAGAGATTTTAAAAGAATCTCATATGAAAATTTTGTTTTGGATCTAAACAGTATATGCTGGGATGATTTATTTTATTAAAATAACTTAAATCAAAAAATAGATTTCCTAAGAGAAAATTTGTTGTTTCTATTTAATATGCATGCTCCATATATAACATCAAAAATAACTAAGCCTTATGCTCCATGGCTAACAGAGAACATTAGACATTTGATGAGAATCCGAGACAAAGCGTTTACCTAAATAATGTGTTTCTAATTTTAGAAGAAACTTTATAAAACAGGTGGAGGGAGTTATACTCCAAAGTTGTCTAATGACTCTAAAAGAGGAGATGAAGCCGGACCAAAATACCTTTGATGATGGTGCAGAATGGTTTGGTATGATTATTTTGTATAGTACAAAACAAATCAATTGCCCTTAATAAATTTGCATTTTTTTTCATTTTAATGGTGGAACTCCGAGAAAATTGGTATCAGATATTATTATAGTGACCTTTTTAACCTTACAAAATTTGTATGTAACCAAAATATTTTTTACTCAGATTTTTTTTAAATAATGCACATCATTAAACTTGCCTTGGTTACTACTTAAATAATTAAAACAGAGACCCAATATATTAAAGCAGGTATTTCAATGTTTTGTAAAAATACATTTTTAAATTAAACGTCATGGGACCCCAAAAATTGGGATGCACAATAATTGTGAATTCTATTTTTTGGGGCTTCAAGACATGTTTAATTTAAAAATTTATTTTTACAATACCTACATTTAAATACCTTCTAACCAATTATATTTGGTTATTTGGGTAAAACTTATATTTTAAAATAATTTTATTTTATTTTATTATATTATCACACAATCAATAAAGATTTTTCAGGGGTGAGTCGCAAACAAATGGGTCACTTTGTATATAATATTTGAAATATTAATCCACCAATAAAAATAAAGCTAATAATGTATACTCACTGCTATAATACTGACATATTTTCAAGTGTGTTTGTTTGTATGTACACTGAGAGAAAGGATTTGTAATTATAAACAAACACATTTATTTAAGGACAATTTATTTACAGAAAATTTAGTTCATTAAAATTGATCACATCGAATTACAGTTAAACTTTTTTAATTATTCTTTTTAAAGTAATGATTTATTTGTGTATACAGGGTGATTCACCTAACTTATTCATTAGAAGTTTATGGAGAACGGAAAAAGATATCGATTTGAAATTTGTATAGCAATTATAAACCAATGTAAACTACTTTTTAAAATTATTTTCAATGCATTATCACTTCCGGTTAAACCGGAAGTGATATCAACCTTGGTTTTTCAAATGTAACCATATAAATATTATTGCATTTTTGAATTCTACGTAAAATTCTAGAAATACTAAAATTTGATTATTTTTTTTATTTTTAACAGTTTTTGAGATATTTAAATTTTTTTTTAAATTTTGACAGATGGATTGTCTTACTAATATGTCTGTATTACCACTAATTGTAATGTTAAAAAGTTAATTTTTGGTGTAACAATTAACTAAGGAACACTCTATCGAAAGCCATTAATAGTATTTGAAAATTTTATACAGGGTGTCCGGTATTTACGTTGACTTTTTTGTCACTTAAAATACCAATAACTTTCTTATTTCAAATGAAACTACCATACAATTTTCATATTATTAGACACAAAATAATGTTTTCTATTGAAATGCTGCAGCATTCCCTATACCTAAAATCAATATTTACAGAGATATTACAAAAAATGTGAAAAAACCGCTTATTTTTTATTTCTTATATGAGTAGTGTGCGTTGGATTGTCTTTTATTTCGTATTTATGAAGTAATGTCAATGTCAACGTCTCTGACAATTGTGTTACAATGGATGATAATAATTACACTAATCAAGATATTCTAAACATGTTTTATACATATGGCGAGTGCGGAAAAGTTTTAGAAAGGACAATAAGAACTTTTAATGAGAGGTATCCCAATTTAACCCCACTCACCAAAATTAAATTCCTGACGATAGAGAATAGATTTATTAATCATGGCGCAGTAAAAGTAAAACGAAATAGGCAAAGACTGGTGACATGCAACAAAGATAATCAAATCAACATCTTGGGATTTTTAAATGCAGAGCCCCAAGGGTCCATCAGAGGAGTTAAAGCTGCCCTTGGCATTCCGTTATACATCTGCCCAGCGGATACTTAAGAATACCGGAATGCACAACTACAAGGTTCTGGGCAAAGTTGATGAGGATAACTCTTTTCTGGGAAAACTTATATGGACAGACGAAGCCAAATTTTCCAGAGAAGGCATTGTTAATTCAAGAAATCAACACTTTTGGTGTGCTGAAAATCCACATGTGGTCCGGCAAGGGAATTTACAAAAAAAATTTAGTTTTAACGTTTTTTGTCTGTTGATGAAGGATCAATTTTCATTTTGTATCTCCGAAGAGAACCTGACATCAGAAAAATACCTGGAAATATTGAATTCGACGGTAATTGGATGGCGCGCCGGCACATTGTTCTAGAAGAGTTTCGGAAAATTTGCAAAATATTATTTAACGAAAAATGGATTAGAGGAGGTGGTCCATGGGAATGACCTCCAAGGTCACCGGACCTAACACCTCTAGATTTTTATCTTTGGGGTGTTATAAAAGCTAAAGTTTATCAAACACCCAGCAACAGCAAAGAATCTCTTGCTCAGAAAGTGAGACAAGCGTTTTCGAAATTGTCCCATGAAGAAATTTTGAGAACAACTTTTGAAGGTGTCTTACAACACGGGCGATACATTGAACAATTACTTTAGATTTGTTTTATTTGTTACATTTGTTTATTTTTTCAATATAATTTTTGAATTTTAAATTGATATTTCTTTTAACGTTGTTTAATACGAAATAAAAACAATTTAACGCACAATACTGATTATACACATTAAAAGTTCCTATTGTTCTTTCTAAAACTTTTCTTTTTTGATTAGTGTAATTATTATCATTCATTGTAACACAATTGTCAGAGACGTTGACATTGACATTACTTCATAAATACGAAATAAAAGACAATCCAACGCACACTACTCATATTACAAATAAAAAAATAAGCGTTTTTTTCACATTTTTTGTAATATCTCTGTAAATATTGATTTTAGGTATAGGGAATGCTGCAGCATTTCAATAGAAAACATTATTTTGTGTCCAATAATATGAAAATTGTATGGTAGTTTCATTTGAAATAAGAAAGTTATTGGTATTTTAAGTGACAAAAAAGTCAACGTAAATACCGGACACCCTGTATAAAATTTACAAATACTATTAATGGCTTTCGATAGAGTGCTCCTTAGTTAATTGTTACACCAAAAATTAACTTTTTAACATTACAATTAGTTGTAATACAGACATATTAGTAAGACAATCCATCTGTCAAAATTTAAAAAAAAAATTAAATATCTCAAAAACTGGTAAAAATAAAAAAAATAATTAAATTTTAGTATTTCTAGAATTTTACGTAGAATTCAAAAATGCAATAATATTTATATGGTTCCATTTGAAAAACCAAAGTTGATAACACTTCCGGTTTAACCGGAAGTGATAACGCATTGAAAATAATTTTAAAAAGTATTTTACATTAGCTTATAATTGCTATACAAATTACAAATCGATATCTTTTTTCGTTCTCCATAAACTTCTAATGAATAAGTTAGGTGAATCACCCTGTATATGGTTAAAATAAATAAATGCATGGTTTAAAACGGGTAAATTATTGTATTTGTTTTCTACAAAATCATGTTTATTGACATTTAATCCACCAATTTATTTGAAGGATAAAAAATAACCTAATTGTATTAAACTCAATATTTCTCCAAGTTAAATAGTAAGACACTTTACGTCTATAAAATATCGTGTTATCATAATTTTTGCCGATGCTAAATACAATTTAATGATTTAGTAATAGTTACCAAATATTATGTTAAAATAAAACATTGTTTTTTTATTTTTTTCCCGCCAGAACTATTTTCTTGTGCGTAGACTACGCAGCGTAGTAAGCCTTCCTATTGGCTATACTCCGCAACAAAAGACATCCGCACGTGGTATTATTCGAGCCGGCTGCCCCCTACATGCAGTGTAATGTGTTTGGTATAATAATTAGTGACCTATTGTGCTATCTTTGCTAATTTTTATAAAACCTGGTGAATGAAATATTTGTTAAGTGTAAGTAACTGTCAGTTACACATAGTAAAATAGACACTTGTTCAATAAGGGGCCATACTTAAATGGCGTCTCCTGATGCAAACACTTTTTTTAAACAAATTGGCTGTAATGAATTGCAGTCATTTGTTGGGGGTAAGTATTTAATAGTTTTACATGGGCACATAATATGTATTATATATCCAAGGCAAGTCTAGACTATTTTTAAGAGTATATTTTTTATACCGTACCTTCATTTGCAAGCTATACCTACATAGGGAAAATACATTGTAGGTGGAACAGACAAGTTAAAGTCGCGCCGGTCAGCGCGAAACGAAAATGTTCCCAGAAATTATTTTGTCGAGTGGATGAGAAGACTAACATGCGAGGTAAAATGTGACCTTGTTTACTGGCGATTAAAATTTTATTACGTCCTAATTTCTGACAACTTTTTCGCTTTGCGCTGACTTCGACTTGTCTGGTCCACCTACAATGTATTTTCCCTATGTATAGCTTGCAAATGAAGGTACAGTATATTGTAACCCCTTTTAACGTTATTCTATTCTGACAGCCCCCGAGGGGCGTGCTGGCAAAACCAATGGCCATTTTTATATATGTACCAAAAAAACAGTTCAGCACACAAGGGGCGTGCAGGCCCCTGGCCCACCAAACTAAAATCCTGGATAAGTCAATGTAACTATTCGATTTTTTATCAGCCTGTTTTTTCATATTTGGGCATATTTAAAGAATAATACCTGATTTGTTTTAAAATTTTTACACCAACTTGCCAGTTCACAACATTTTTTCAACAAAAAAACATGTAGGTACCTATAATGAAAAAAAATATTTTATCATTTTTATTTAACCTATTTATTTTGAAAAATAAAAGAAAAATGACAAATTTATTAATTTTCCATTTACTTATAAGTTATAAAGTCACAATAAGACATTTACAAACTTTTTAGTGGGAAACCTTACACCTGAGCAAACGGAACTTCTAAAAATAGCGGACAAACAACAAATAAGATCCTCCAGTTGCAATTCTGAGGTAATTAGTGCAATAAAATTGATCCTATTTAAAACATTGTTGTTTTATTGTAGCTTTATCAGAGATCGTCCAATTTTTCAGAAATTGACATATTAAACCCTTCTATTATTATTGCTTCCCCTAATACAAGTGAAGTATTCTCGAATCAATTCGAGGATAATTTAGATCCCCCACCGCAGAAGCGCAAAAAGAAGGCTCTCCTGTCGAATTTTAATTTAAAAGAAATCTTGCAGAAGGATGCTGTAGGAAATGCGATATATGTATCATATCTTGGGAAGCAGGAACCCTTGGATACTAGGTCTCAAGGGTACTTTTGCGACGTAATTATTACCTATTTTCTAAATAAATCGGACAGGTATGGTCAGCGGCGTAACTAGAAAAAGTGCCGCCTGGGGCAGCAGTGGCTGTCGCCCTCATGTTTTTTTTTTGGGGGGGAAGAGAGGTTAGGTTAGGAGTCAGTTTTGAGGACCGTAAGCAAAATTATTGGTAACTTATGTCGGCGGTAGACTGATTACTCATCAAAGGTACAATACCGGTCTTGTTTCTATTTTTTGCTAGCTTTATTTGATTTGGAATATTTTGGGAGTAATTGTATAAATCTCAAATCTATTGGAATTTGAATTATATTATTTCGAAAGAAAATATTTAATTATCAAATATTTTTTTTATTTTTATATTCTGTCTTCCAGTTTTCTTCGCATTTTCTCTCACGATTTTTGCCGCCCCAAGAAGTGCCGCCCGGGGCGGACCGACCCCCCGCCCCCCCCCTAGTTACGCTACTGGGTATGGTTTCACAATACATAATAATTTAATATATGGATTACTGGAGAATGTATTTATGTTGTAGCCGCCTTACTAACGAAGAAATACAATTTGTCACCGAACGTATTGTTGAATTGTTCCCCCATGAAATACAAGAAACTTATTTTGTTCCACCAATACGAAAATTTCAATCCGGGGACAGTAAAGCTGGCATATCTAAGGGAAAACTTATTGATAAATATAGAAATAAATTATAATAAATATAAGAAAGTCCACAAAAAAACAAGAGTAAGAAGAGAAGGAGGAAATATGTGAAGGTAAAAATTAATTTTCTTGTGAATTTTCTTTTTCTCAAAACTTTAACTTTATAGGCGATAGCAATTATGAAACAGAACAGTCCAAATTGTGGCTAAAACATAATCACTGTTCCTGGCCAGATGTTGAAAAGCATTGGACTTTATCCAGACCTCTGCGTGCTACTGAACGCAATAAAAATATAACCATTGCAAAAATTCTTTCAGACTGGCCAGTCCTGGGAACGCACCTTGGACCAACTCTGGTAAGAAATATTACTATCACTTAAACAATTATTGCAGAGGGTGCAGATATATAAAATAAGTAAGTAGTAATATTTTAGGTTAGCTCTCTACGATTTTGGCAGTTTTTTTATGGTTTATGTTTTTATGTTTCGTTTGTTAATTTTGCTATTGTTTATTTTTTGTTATTCATAAATAGAAGTTTAAAAGTTTATGTTTTTAATGCATCTATTATTATTTATAGTAATTAATAAAAATATTTTTCTATAAAAATCATTTTTTAGTACATTTATACCCCACCCTAATTTTATTTAAATGCATTCTTATTTTATAGTTAAAAAAGGTAAGTTTTGCTGAAATAAATCTAAGTAAGGTTACAAATTGTAGAACAATTATCACAAATAGTTCTGTGCGTTAAAATATCCAATTATGAAATTATTTTTAAAAAACATTTAATTCCTTTACATGCAACTTTTATTTACATGTAATTTTTACATGGTGTCTACAAATCATGAACAAATTATAACAATGAGCAGTTTTTTTATTTTAAATTTCGTGATTGTAAATGTATTTCACCATTTATTTACAATTACCAAATCTGTATACCTTCTAATATATGCTAGGGATGTGCCAAACTTGATTTGGTAATCATAAATAAATGTATGGTTCTAAGAACTATCTAAGCAGTTTTGATTTTAATTCCTATATTATCAAATATACTAAACAGAACAATTGTTTTAAATAACACTCTGAAATAAATTATTTATTACCAGTACCAAAATATTCGTTTCCCTGTATTCTAATCAGGGATTTATTAACATTAAATAAATTTGCATTATTGTTAACAATCCTTTTTCTCAGTGTATATTGGTTTGCATAGAGATAGTATATGGGATATTTTTTGCAAACTTTTTTGTTATAAAAATTTTTATAACAAAAAAAGTTTTAAATATTAATATTTATATTATTATTATTTAAAAAAAATAGAGAGCACTGCTCTAATAATAATTACATGAATACATTGAAAAAGAATTTCTCATGCAAAAATAAGACAATAGTTTTGTCAATTTACAAGTGAATGTTTTTAATTTTGGATGTGCTTAAATTTAAAATTTATATTTTATAACGTTTAACCGTTGATTGAAAAAAACTCATATTCTCAACAACAGTTAAACCTTATTTTTATATTTGAACTTTTATTTGGTAGTGTAATTAAATAACACATTTAACTTATGTTGTGGATATATTCGATTCTTCCCCTGCTGATGAAAAAGATATTCCGAAAAACCCTATAATTTAAAAGATGTTTGTAAATATCATATTTTATAAATTTATATGCCTTTTAAAAAGTGTTATTTCTGGGTCAAACAAACATTATTTGTTATAATTAATCAATTTAATGAATGTTACAGGACCAGATAAAGTATATGAATCCCCACCACAATGTTCCTCATCCCCTCAACCTGGTTGCTCTTACCACCCAGAACCTCCTACACACGGTCTAGATCGTGATACTGTTCCTGCTTCTGCTCCTGCTCCCAAAACCACATTTCGAAAAAAAAGGAAAATCGTTTAAGAAAAAAACAAAAATGGATAAAAAAAAAACTTATTATTTCCAAAATCTGCCTGGTCAGACTACAAAGGCGTCTGGCCATTAAGGAGGATAGTAGAAAAGAGGCTGAACATACTTTAAAAATAAAAATCCTCCAGGCAGAATTAAATAAACTTGAAAATTAAAATAAATATTTTTAAATACAATTTTGATTTTATTTTTTCCCTTGTGACCCTAAAACCTTAATACAAAATTATTTTTCGAATCTGCTCAATAATAATTATTACCAATTCATTTAATTTAAAGTAATAAATAATGTTTGGATTTTTAAATACTACATTTACTTATTATTGTATACAGGGTGTCCCTAATGAACAATACAATGACTGCAGTAATAGGTCAATTAACACAAATATGCATTTGTAAAATATTACTAATAAACGAGATAAGGTCTCAAGTGGGACACACTGTATATATTTAAAATATTTACTTATTAATAAACTTACATACTTTGTCCTCTGATGCCTGTTTCTTGATTTTTGTAAATATTCTTCTTTCTAAAATTTAAAATCTCTTACATAGGGAGGTAATTAATAATATACAAATAGATTTTTAAATTTATTCCAGCCATATTTTTTCTGGTATTTCTTTTTAAATTTAAATAAAGAATTTTTAACTGATGGCTGGTTTTCTTTGGCCCATCACTATTTTTATTGAACAAGCGTTCAATGTCCTCCCAAGCCTTGTGTTTTTTTATTGTTGGTGGCATCTGTGCGTTTATTTTCCAAAACTGCTTTATTCCTAAAAATATGGGATAGGTATAGGGATAGGTGAGAAAGGATTGTCGCTCAAACATTTTAGGTACAGGTATTTGGATAAGATAAATTATTAATTTTTAGAAGAACAAATGCCCAAATAAAACTTACATTTCCACCAACTTCAACAATAATTGTTTGTCCTTCTCTGAGGCTTTAGGTCCCCTTTTTGTTTTATTCTCCATTTTCTTAATAAACAACACTAAACGCTTTGACTACACGAATATTTAATTTGAATGTTTCAAAATACGAATTTCAAATCAAACCAGACAGAATCGAACTGTCACACATTAAACGGTTAAAAAAGAAGACTAAATACAGGAGGAGTAACTTGCTAGGTGGGGGCAAGCCAAAAAACGTACGCATATACTCAGTAGTATTTAGTTAAGTTTATTTTTAAGTTATAATTAAATAATAAAATTATAAATAAGGGTATACGTTATATAGCTTATCATTTTATGCCTTGTGGTCAAGAGTTACTCTCCTTTATTTAGTCTTCTTGAATTATAATCCTAGATTGTTGGTAGAGCAGATTTCTGTATGAAACTGGTTTAAGTTAGGTGCTATGTTGCCATGTCGTGCAAAAACCTAAACCCACTGATATGCTAAATCAGTTAATATAAATAAATCAACGTTTCTGCATACGGCCCTCAGACTTCAAAGGCATTTGATACCCTGGATCATAATCTGCTTTGTTCTAACTTAAATTCTTTGGCTTTAATGATATTTCAGTAAACTTTTTTAAAGCGTATCGGTCCAACCGTAAACAAATTGTTTTATTGGAAAATGAAGTATCTGAAGCTTGTAGCATTAGGTACCTCTGGAGTACCCCAAGGCTCAGTTTTGGGTCCCACCCTTTTCCTAATTTACACTGACGATATAATTAACTCTGTAACTAACGGTTCTATCCTATGTTATGCCGACGACATCAATTGCATTATAGTTTTAATACTAAAAACATAATTAATGTTAGAAATCAAATAATTATTGATTTACAGTCAATTTTTACATTCTCACAAAGCCACAATTTAAAATTAATTTTTAATAAATGCTCTTTTATGTTATATTGCAGTACAAATCTGCGACCTTTTATTTGTAGGGAATTAATATTAAAATTAAATGACACAAATTTAAATATACAAAATAAAGTAAAAAACTTGGGCATTATTATGGATGATAATTTGCGTTTTAAAGATCATGTAGGTTCGCTCGTAAAAAAATCCTATGTTTCTTTAAAAATATTTTATACAAACATAAATATTCGTAATTTTAAAGTAAGAAAAAAGCTTTGTGAGAGTTTAGTAATATCTATTTTAACCCTTCGTTAGTCGCGCATAGGTCCAGGGGACCTATACGATAGTATTTTTCTTTTATTTAAAAATCAGATTGAGATATCGTGTTGGGTCTTTATGACATTCTAAATTGATCTATTTACAATTGTTTGCCAATGCCCCACTCCGATAATTATCGAAATCCCCCGGGAATACAGGCCTAAAAGGAAGCGGGTACATGTGTAAGTCCGCTGGACCTAGCGCGCCCGTCAATGCCGTACTGATAATCTTTGTAATTTTTCGGGAATTCACACGGTGTAAATCGGGTATTCACACGGTATAAATAACATCTAAAATAACGAGAATCCAGCGCGACCGCTAGGGTTAGTAAATTTCTGATGTTGCTAGTGTGTACTGTTCCTTGCTTCTTTCAACGTTATTTGTTTCCTGTGAATATTGTGTGTATAAATTTTAGCTGTACCAGTAAGTATTTGCCCTATTTTAATTTTTGATAATCTAATAAAAAAAATTACAGTTTTATTTGTATTTATTATAAAATTTTAGGATAAATGAATAAAAAAGTTTTTGACCTAAATAACCCCCAAGATGTTGACCTCAATCGTATTGCTTTTGACGACGATGAAAATGCTTTACTTGAAGAAGACTTTGAAGAGTCGGATGAATCGGATACGGAAGATAACTTGGAGGCCAGGCCAGTTGACATGGATTATGAAAATGAGGCAGAAGATATAGAGGAAGCCTAAAATGAAGAGGAAAGTGAAGACTTTTATGGTGGTAAGTTCACACAAAATTATATGAAAGGAATATTAAAATTAACGTCATATGTCGTCAAAACGACGTGATATGACGTCATATGACGTAGTGTGCTGTCTGCATAAACACATATACAAAAACCATGGTAAAAACTTTGGGCGGAATTTCTTACATTCATTTTCATTGTTATAGGTCGGGATGGTACCAAATGGAGAAAAACCCCATTGAAAGTTACCCAAACACCTCCGCATAATATATTAGTAAAATTACCAGGCGTTCTTGGCCAAACTGTAAAAAATGCCAAGAACGAAGCAGATTCTTGGCGACTACTTTTTGATGACAGAATATTGACTTTGCTAGTACAAAAAACTAACATTTATATAAATTCTATAAAAGAATAATTCAGCCGTACAAGAGACTGTAGCCAGCCTAAAACTAATCAAGGAATTGGAGAAGAAAAAATTATTATACGTCGCAACCAATACGATAGTCTTTTTGGATACACAAAACTAGCCCTTTCAGTACGGCCGACGGACTTATCCGTCAGTTAAAGAATGTACCCACCGGCCGGCTGACGTATATATCCGACATCGTTTAATCGTATCCATTGGCCTACTGCCTTATAAATGCGACACCTTCAGAAACTTGCGTTTCATCACA